TGTCCTGCTATCCGTCTACAAGCAAACAGCTTTTGACCTGTGATTATCACCATGAGACATCAGTGGGGTGGGTTGACTCGCAGACTGAGATGAGACGTTCTGTTTGCGTGCGACTGCATGTGTTGGCTGCACGTGTGGGAGACTATGGACGTGCGTCTTCACGTTATATTTACTGGCTCACTTCAGCACTGCCCCTTCTAGAATCAAGAATGAATCACAAAGTCCAGCTTTTAAGGAGCTAGAGATATTCAAGGTCAGCTTATGTCATGTGCTTTTATTTTTCATATTGTATAGATCAAATTGAACAATTCTGGGAAATGTGAGTCAAGCTCCACAACATTAAATTATCAAATGATTGTAGCTCAACATGCATTAAATTACTCCAGCCATCATTTCAGAATCGGTGGGAACTTTTAACTGCACAATAAATCTGAATCACTGGTCTACATTATTGCTCAGCTTTCATGTCTAGCACGTATTCACAATGTACAAAAAAATATATATAATAAAAAAAAAAATTAGGTATTAAAATCAATAGGGTGAATTGTCAGAAGCTTGGTGAGTAATACATCATATTCAGTATGACCAAGGCCAGATTAATTACATCGATTCTGACCGTGAAATACACCATGCCGGCTTAAAAGAAACAGCTTTAGACAAGAGCTTTACACGAGAGCATTTCATGATTTAGCATGTCCCATACATATGCGTGACCAACACGATATAGCTAACATGCTAAACACATATGCACTACATAGGCGCCACAGTGATTTTCATCCTGCTACAGTGAAAGAAAGCAGCTGAGTCTATATAATGGTAGCATGAGTGAACATCAATCGTCACTGCGTTATGTAATGCTTGAAGGGCTCATCGTTTACAACAGCAAACTACTAAAAATGAAAAGCGCATTACATCTGAAAATGTTGATCACATAACATTCAATCATGAACCAGAATAAAAGCAGATTTTTAGGAGAATTTTCACCTTTTTGAGGACATGGTCATATACACAACATAACTTGCATCATCCTTAGACTGAGGATTTATTATCTTTTTTTCTATCAAATGAATCAATATTTTATGCAAAAAATTGCTGCATACTATATTATATTATAGCACTGCGTACTATATTATCTGAAGGGTGTTCTGGCTGGTTGCTAGGCAGTTACTAAGATGTTCTAAATGGTTGCTAGGCAGCTGCTCCTGTGTTGTGTGAGTTTTTGAACAATAAAGAAAATAAACAATGATGCCTAAGAAAGTACAAGAAACGTCTCAGGTTACTTATGTAACCATGGTTCCCTGAGTAGGGAACGAGACACTGCGTCCTCTAGGGGTCGCTATGGGGAACGTCTCGTCGTGACCCGTGTCTGAAGCATACGTTGAAAAAACACCAACTCGTTGGCCGGCGACAGCCATGACGTCACTACCGGTGCGACTATAGTATAAATAGGCGCCGGGAGCTACACATCATTCACTTCTTCGTCTGAAGCTTGCGTCCGCAGCATGGCAAGAAACCTAGAGGACACAGTGTCTCGTTCCCTACTCAGGGAACCATGGTTACATAAGTAACCTGAGACGTTCCCTTTCATGGGAACTTCGAACTGCGTCCTCTAGGGGTCGCTATGGGGAACGGTATACCCACGCCACCATGCTGAGGGGAGTGCAAGCCAGAACCATGGCGAGCACTAAGTACCAACTCTACCATATTGCTATGGGAGTCACCCCTGGGACGTTAGACGGCTGTCAGTGACGTTATTCCCTACGGCCAAAGGCCTAGGCTACATACCCCAAAATACTTACCTGTTAGGGCCAGACTCCTGGGCCCGGGGTAGAGCTCAAGGCTTGGAATCAGAAATAGATTCCTTTAAGGGAATACGACCAAGAGCCTAGAATCATACTAGTCTTGGCCTGTCACACAGGGGCTACCGCACGTTTCTCTTTGTATGTGCTGAAGGAACTGTCTCAACAGACCCACGCAGTTCGAAGTTCCCATGAAAGGGAACTATAAAGGGAAACAATCAGTCTACAAAGGGTTTGCAACCACATTTTTTCTCCTAAGCATTAATTTCTGACCCTTTTATGGAAAGAGCAAAAGGTGAATGTAGAGAAAATTGTATACTGACAGAATAGCCTCTGACATTGTCGCTGTCCTCAGAACAGTGGTTTTGAAAGCAGCCCACTCACTTAAGAAGTGTGTCGCTGTCCAGTGCTGAAAGTGTCGAGGCAGGTGGCGCTGTCCAAAAGCAAGAGGTGCTGAAAGCTGTGTGCTGTGTTGAAGAGTGTGGAAAAGGGCACACTCTGTGGTTGGCTATGAGGCTTGTTTGCTCAGAGCTGTCAACAGTATCCTCAGCACCTAAGAGGGAGTTTCTTGCATTTTGTCTGTTGCATTTTTAAAATTGTTTATTTACATAAGCCTCAGACTGACATCTGTGCCTATTGTCTTATGCACATTAGCACTTTTAAGACAATCAAAAACAATGCAACTTTTACAAATTTTGAGATTTCAGTGTTCAGTTAAAGGATCTTATTTGATTTATAGACAATTCTTATTAACAGCATCCTTTTGGATTGGTTCCAAATTATGTAACAAAATTCCAATAGAAATACTATACTCATTTCTTTATGATTTTATTTTTTTTTACTAGGATTATATGCTCTCTTGCTTATTTGAATGCAAGAGCAAGCCCTGATTTTGGGTTGAACAATAGACAGTAGAAAAGAACTGATAAAAAAAAAGTTAATTCCTGGAACTATAATACAATTCTTAGCTTCCATAGCTGTACAGTATACACATGGTTAAGACTACACACAGTGCTGTGCTCTAATGTGGCCATCTGCAGATATGTATTTTTTTCTCCCTATTTATTTATTTTTATTAGGAATTACGCTTGAACCAGCTGCTTGGTAAGCATATACACTAAGCAGACAATCATACAGCTAATTTTTGACAGCAGGATAAATCCGTTAGATAATCCAAATCCGCAGCAAGAGAGATACAGAAAGAGAGAGAGAGTCTATAAGGGAGATTAAAAAGAGGAGATTGTGAGCGCCGAATCCCACATCACTGATCATGTGACCCTAATTCCACTCTGTCATTTCTTCCCGCGGAGTGTTAGAGAGATGACCAATCACAAGGCACAGTTCGTGAAAAAAAAAAAACCATCCCACTAACAGCAAGTGAATCTCAAATACAGTCCAAAAAGGGGGGAAACACTCATACAGACTCACACTTGTCACTGCAATACATATGCACACAAACAAGCAACCTCTCACATGCCGTATACAACTAGTTTTGTTTCAGTTTGGTCTTTCTTCCTCACAAAAGCTGTGGGTTTTCTCTCAGCATTACACTGACTTGTCAGTGTACGGCATATTTACGATTCTTCACCGACTCATACAGGTCGACCCCTGTCCCCATCCATGTCTATGGTGGTTTTACAGCCCTGCTACGGTCATTGTTTGTCCTACCTTCTGTCAAATATATAGCTCATATAAATTACACAGCCATTAAAAAAAAGACATCAATAGAGCTCTTGCCAGCATCACTCATTAACTATTGATGCTGTATGAGATCTGGCGCCACAGCTGGACACACACACACAAACAGATTGTTTATTTCTGCGCTCATTGACAATGGACTCAATTCAAACCAGTCTCCATGGTACTGAACCAAACAAGAGGCGTGGCAGTTTAAACTCAGGCCGAGGTGGTCAATCGTACTGTGGTGCCAACAGCCATACAGAAATGAACATCTGTGATGCCTTCTGTACCACCTTAAAAGTACAAATTAATATTCAAAAGCAAGGACTACAAAATAAATTGATGTAAAAACAGCCTTTTGGGGAAAATGAAAAGGAATCAGAGTACAGTTTGCTTTGATTAAGAAAAGATCCATTTAAAAAAAAAGGGATGGATGGCATGCAGTGGCTTTTGAGGATTATGCCAGGCAGGAGAATGGAACCAAATGGAGAGAAGTTGTTTGAAGCTCCGCAATAAGCCACTCTTCCCCTTTTTCATATTTTGAAATGAGGGAACAACTGTGCGTGTTAACCGCAATCCAGCACCCCCTTTGTTCCTTGTTTAGATCGCAAGTTAATGGAGAAATGGGGCTTTAACTTGAAATGAGGGGCTGAAAAATGGTGAAACCTGAAGAGATCTGTCAATTAGGTGTGGTTTGACATCACTGAGAGTGTGAAAGGCGGGGAAAAATTACTATACAGAAGGTGATAGCGCCTTGAGGTTTGATCACTCCATACGTCAGGGGCTGCAAACTCTACTGGGAAAAAAGGGGTATGAGATGAGAGCTACGTGTGGGCATGTGGGGGAAGGGGTGTGTAGGGTACAAACACAAAGCACATAATAACAATTTCACCACTATAATGACAGACAATCCTTGTTTCTCTGCCTGCCTACTCTTATGTCTGCTCTTTCAGAGAAAGCAGATAGTCCATCCTCTTAAATGCTCTGTGTAAATAACAGTCGTGTCTAGAAAGACACTCTCTCGCTGCCTTCAAACTGACAGTTTTCAAAGAAAACGGTCAGGCAGGGAGAGAGATGTGTGGAGATGACCTCCTCGTTGCCAGTGTCAGAATTAGTGAGAGCGGCAGTAGACGGCAGGAAGCTAGTAAAGTTATTCCTCCTGGAATCAGCCATCACGAGGCACTGTAGGTAGGAAGCAGTGTGTCTCACACTCTAGTGAGTGCTATTATGGATAGTTTTCACTCGGTAATGAAATACAAAAGCCTTTCACATGGCTGAGCATGTAATCACAACACATATGCATGCAAATAGGTAAGTAGTGTTGTATTCTCATCATATGAGTTGAGTCAGATATTGTTATCTGAGCCATTTCAAGATTTTTAAAACCCAAAGCAGCGTCTCTAGAACTAGAATTTTCTGAAACAGTTCAGTACACTTGGCTACAGAGGTTATAGGTAACTAACACACACACACACACACACACAGAGAGAAACTGTTTTCAGCACAGTCAAGTGTCCCTACCTGGCAGTCTGTAGTCACCCCTGGGTTTTTGTTCAGAGCTGGATGTCAGGAAGCGCAGGAGGTAGAGGCTGAAATAGAATTGAGTGAAAACACCTCCGTTTGTCCTGCAGAAATATGGATGCCCTGTACACACACGCTCTCTCTCTCTCTCTTACACACCGCTCTGACACGCAGCACTGAATTTCTCTCTCTCTCTCACAGCCTTCCTACTCGTCTTCCCGCCCACCTACCCCCGACACCCTCCCTTTTCCTATCTCTTTCTTTTACACACACTGTCATTCTCTTTCGTCACACATGCACACACACTCTATCGCTCTCTCTCTCTCTAAAGGCACTCACTCATTCGCTGTGACACGAGCACTCTCGTGTACATACATTTGGTTTCTTTACTCAACAAACATTCTCTTCCTCTGCTTTTGTCTTTCATGAACAGGGATGGGCATCTCTTTTTCTTTTTTACACGACTAAGGCAATATTTGTAAAGGAATACCAGCATTCTTTTGTAAAGGAATATTCCTTGTAAAGGAATATTCAGCAGTTAACTGAATACTGAGAGGTTCTCAACCGGCATCACAGGTCTGTATCGATAGGGTCACAGATAGCCACATGATGTAAAATGTAAAAATCGAGGTCCTGAACCAAATCCATTATATCAATAAAATCTGTACAAAAAAATGTACACACACGCTGAAAACAAACACACACGCTGCTGCTGCTCTACACTACAGGGATTGACATATCGGTTCACAGCTGATAACTGATAGCATCGAGACTACAAATAGATTAATTGTCTAATTATCTAATAGTTAGCATATATAAACATACGCTAGATGAACGTCTTGGGTAATAAGGGACATCTCACTACTTTTTATTAACTGAATTAATAAAAAAAAAAGTGTGAATTAAACAATTATATTCATATATATTAGTTATAAATAGAAACATTTGCTGTTTAAAATGCAGTACAGCAGATACATAGAATGTCAGTTAAAAAAGAACACATCCCATGTGAATGCCTCCTAAGGCTGTCATTCCGTCCTGTACTTTTTACTCCTTTCTCTCTTGTAGTGTCGATGTAGCCTACATCCCCTTGAGGAGCCAGTCAAGGGCATTCCCAAAGAAACTGTATGTAAATGCACAGTGAGCCCGGAGCAGCTGCTTGGCCCCTCCCCTGGTCCAGATGCTCAGCCTGGGAGGGGAGTGGGGGCGGAGCGGAGCGGTGGCCTAAAGGGACTACAAAAAGCCACCCCAATAAACACAGCTTGAGCTCAGCTTGCCGACAAACCAATTCTGAACAACATTAATGCTAATGATGAGTTTTTAAATGCAGGCATTTTCTAAATCAGCTGATTTGTATATTTGTTGTGTTGAGTTTAGGTGCTGTTTGGGCATTGTGATTTTTAGGCATTACCAAATGGAGGGGTTGGAATGAGAATGGTTTGAATTGTCGTCAAGGTCATGCCCTTCAGTGAGAAACACTCATCACTGCCTGAGTCTGCAAAACAGGGAAAAGGTAGATGGGGTGGACTCACTGCAGGTTGGATGCACTTCCGCTACACACTTCAGAGCACTCAGGTCTGATGCATGGAATTCCAGGATCGCTCCCTTTGTGCTATATCAATCTTTGCTTCTCTCTCTTGGTTTCTCTCTCCCTCTTGACCTCATTCTCTTCTCTTCTCTTTTTCACACTCCGTCTAATACTGCTCTCATGCTGTGACGGTTCATTTTTCCGTTGTACGCGTGCACCTCAGGCAGCAACATGTTCTATCTGACAGTTTACATTAGCAAAAGCCTCTCAGCAACAGAATAAGCTGCTGGCCATTAATGACATCCCCTCAGTTTCTGAACGCACAGATACAGGTCAGGTTTTGCTTTTCATGTACGCTCTCAACACCTTAAATATTATCCTATAACCTCTTCCACAACCTTGTGTTTTTTTTCTATGTTGCAGTCAATGAGAATTGTCATTCATTTTACAACTAAAATGCAACATATATGAGTGAAATAGGATATCCAACAATAATACAAGGTGAGACTTGATTGTGTCCATTAGGATTGGAAGGTGATAAGTGGTTGTTACATACCAGAACAGAGCCAGACAGTAATGTAAGTTTGATAAAATAATGCCTAAAATTACGCTATTTAGCTACTAGCCAATGGCTAATAGCATAAATTATGTCAACGGAAAAGGAAAGTATTTTCCAGGAAATGCAAGCATTTGTATTTTGTTTTGATTTTGATAAAAAATATAAAATCACAAACCATATACATACACTGTAAACCATCTATCTAAGTAAACCATTCGTAAACAGCTGTTTGATTGATTGTTTGTGGTTTGTGCCATCATCATTGTCCTGTTTGAAACATATTAACAGAGAACATCTATTTATCTGACCAATGGCAGTGTTTGGAAAAACCTGTTTGAAATTATTTTTACAACTCCACTTCAAAAAATGACAATCCAAGACTAAGTAGTGTGGAACGACAGTGCAAGTGAGACCAGCTTTCAACTTCATACAATAACATCTCCAAACATCTCCCTAAACGTGTATGATGTAGTGTTTGAGATGGTATTGATGGAACAGGAAATGTGTGTGCTTACACAGGCAGCCAGGCAGGAAATCAAACCCAGCGCAAACAGACTCAAAGCTTAATGATTACCCTTGTTAAGCCGTCTGCTCCAAACAGCAAACCTTTAGAGGGGGACGTGTCTCTTGCTGTCTTTTTTTATTTAAACAGATGTGTATTGGATCTCGCAGTGCACTGCAGGTAGATGGTTTATATTCAGCTCCTTGACAGAGAAAATTGAGAGTCAGCCAACTGGCACTAGAGGAGAGGTGAGAATGACAGCGACCTGTTCGTATGCTTGCCACATAAATGTTAGCTTATTGATCCAAGGTGGGGGGAGTGTTGGATTTTTCCACATTTTCACCTCTGTGTTTTGCTAAAGCCATTATTATCTCATGCCACATTGGGTTTATCTGTCGTATCTCTCCAGCTCACAGCATACTACATGCTTCAAATCTCACATATCAGTTGCTGCTAAGAATCAGGATGGATCCCATTGGGTAATCAGTGACGGCTGATCACTATGCAGTTTACATAGAGCATAATACTGCCCTCTTGGGGACGTTGGCTCAAAATGAACAGAATGTTGTATGACCTTTGAACCAGATGATGTCCTCTGAAGCAAGACTATGTCCACCTTGCGAAAAGTATCCCAATCTGTGATCTCAGGTCAGATTGTTCTTGGGTGGCTAATTGATTGAGCCTCTCTTCTCTTTTAAGGCATAATAGCTCAATTCCCATGGGCACATCTGTTTCCATGGCAATGTATATATAAACAATAAATACCAGCCATTGCTATAATGTTCTGCAAGCACCATGAAGCTTTTAAACTGGGCCAGATCTTACTGCATAGTCTATTTATTTTTCAAAGCAAAGATTTCATCTGTGGTGAAGACTATTTCTGAGGCTATTTGAGAAAGACATATTAGCTTTTCTTAATTGTCCTTCATTGATAAATAAATGAAAAGTAAATAAAGATCACTCAAATTATTTACAATATTTATGCACATTAAGATCATCAGCATTAACTAATAACTATTTGAACTAATAATTATTCCAATGGACTGACTAACAAACAAGTTACTAGCGCGTGTGTCATTCCCACAATATAAACACACCCTTGCTTATACATCAATAATATTTGTTTTCAGTTTTCTACTGATTTCTGGGTAAAAACTCAAATTAAAAGTTTACATCTCATTCACTGTCATGGAATGGTCTAATGCACTAAGCTTCATAACGCACTTCAGTTTTCAAATAGTATGGCTTAACAGTTTACAAATATGTTTATTTTTAATGTGCTGTAGCCACCTTGTACACTAAACACTGCTTAAAATAAGTGTCTGCAAGATTACTTAAAAATCTGGACATTTTCAGGGACAAGAGAAGATATCAGAACAAACCTTTATTTTTTTATTATTAAATGTTTTAATGTTTTCTCACTGACAATCATTTAATTGCATGTAATTTATGTGTTTATGCCAAAAGTCTTAACTAATATTCATAGTAGTAGTGCTGTCAATGCATTAATCTTTAAGATTAATTAAATATAACATTGTTTAACGTTTAACATTGTGTTACATTTCCTGAGGCAGGTACCGCATTCATTCAAACTATGGACTGAAATAAGAGCACAACAAGCAACACACACAAGCAAATCATGTGTATGACTCAAATGAATTTATAAAAGGAAACAAAACAGGTCTGAAATATGAGCCATACTAAAAACAATGTTAATGTGAAGACAAACACGGAACTGCTAAAGGTTAGTAGGGAAATGTATTTAATTTCTCACAATGCGCATTTGGAAAAGCTAAATATTTATAGGAACACTTCAGCAGGTTCAATATAGTTAATATTAACACAGGGAACATGATTCATTGTTTTAATCAACTGACAGCCCTACAATTTACTAATCTGTGTTCTTCTGTGTAACTGTCTATATGTAGACAGTCTAATTCTTCCAGAAACGCCTGAGCCATATTAAGTTGAACGCAGAAGTAGCTGTGCGAGTAGTCCATTGTATTATGTATGTATTTACAATTCATTGGCCACCCAGATTTCAGAATCAATATCAGTCATAATTATTCAGTACCATGGTATTACTATCTGATACCATCACTATAGTTTTTGTAATTGTGAAAAGGTTGTTTGATCAAAAAGGTGTCATCAATGTAATTTCTTACAGGAGCATGGAGAGCCACTAGGGCATCAGCTCATTCCCGAAGTCGGTTGCCAGGATTCAGCAAGGCGGACAGATTTGAAAAAATGGTCTACAGAAGAGTGCTTAATACAATAATCTCAGATGTGCTGGTGGCAGAGGAGTGTGTGCTTTAGCACAGAAAAATAAATTAAGAATGGAGCTCTCAGCTGCCACATTAATGAGGTAAACCAGGAACACAGAGCTCACTTACACCTGCTAACCACAACTGAGTGCCAAACTCACTGACTCTTCTCATATTAGAAAGTGAGAAAAAGAAAGTGTAGTAAATCAGCTCAAAAGGGAAATATTTATGACTAATTATAACTGGTTATGATTAATAATAAATATTTAGATTAGATCTTCGAATGAACTGTAGCAGAATCAATAATCATTGTTTGAGGAATAAAGAGCTGATCATTCTGATACCAAGAA